TCAGGAAGAATTTTAGGGCATAAAAAACTGTAATTGAAACATATATATTTGATGATTACGTTAAAATTAATAAATTGAAGTTCATGAAAAGACATCATAAAGTGAAAAGCCCCCAATTTGGAGAAAATATTTATGACACGTATAACAGAAGAGTAGTACCAAGAATACATGGAGATTCTTCAGAGAAGTGGGAAGAAAAGAACAAAGTTTCAAATGGCCAGCAAATACAGTGATAGGCACAGCCTCATTAAGTCAGAGAAACGAGAGTCACAGTATGATATATGATATCTGACAAATATTAAGTGTCATTGTGAGGTAATTGTTAGTAGGTTACAAATCATTCTAGGGATTGCCACTCCGGAAACATCATGGCACTAACTAGAAAAGTTACATATGTCTCTGTACTCTGTGCTTCTAACACATCCTAGAGAAATTCTTGCATAGTTTTATCAGTACACATGTATAAGAATGCCTACAGCACCATTGTTCCTAATAGCAAAAACATGAAAACACATGTCCATCCACAGAATAGATTAAGTTTTGGCATGCTCAAATGTTATGAAAATAAGTGAACTATACTTATTTATAACCATATAAATGAATCTTGGGAAAAAATAGTGTTGCACAACAAAAACAAGTCTTAATGTCAGTCCATTTATATAGTTTAAAATTAGGCAGGGTGTTCAAGGTTTTTTTGTGTATTACATTTATAGGTGATAAACTCTTAAGGAAAGCCACAGTATGATTATCTCAAATATTAGGTTGTTATTAGTGGTGGTGGGGAAAAAGAGGAGAGGGAATATGGTAAAAAAATTTTAAAATTTTTTAAAAAGAGAGGGAGATATACCTAGGGGACATATAGAGTTTCAAAGGTATTATTTGTTTTAATATTTTATTTATTTATTCATAAGAGAGAGAGAGGCAGGCAGAGACATAGGCAGAGGGAGAAACAGGCTCCATGCAGGGAGCCTGATGTGGGATTCAATCCCGGGACTCCAGGATCATGCCCTGGATAACATGCACTTCCTGAAGGCAGGCGCTAAACCACTGAGCCACCCAGGTGTCCTTGTTTCTTTCTTTTTTAATGATTTTATTTTTAAGTAAACTCTACACCCAACATGGAGCTCGGATATCAAGAGTTGCATGCTCTACCAAATGAACCAGCCAGGTGCCCCTCAGACATTTTGTTCCTTAACTTGGCTGGGGTGGATACACAAGCACGTGCTCCTTTTTTTTTTTTATTTTTTTTTATTATTATTATTTTTTTTATTTATTTATGATAGTCACAGAGAGAGAGAGAGAGAGGCGGAGACACAGGCAGAGAGAGAAGCAGGCTCCATGCACCGGGAGCCCGACGTGGGATTCGATCCCGGGTCTCCAGGATCGCGCCCCGGGCCAAAGGCAGGCGCCAAACCGCTGCGCCACCCAGGGATCCCCTTTTTTTTTTTTTAATGTAGAAATGTATATGATACAATTTACAGTAAAGTAAAGGGGGAATCAGAGGGTCAATGGGCAATTAGTGAGGTTGAAATACAGGAATTTACTCAAACCAGAGAAATGAGATGATATTGGAAGGGGCTATGTAGGAAGATTGTACCAGGTTCTAGCAAAAGCTATATCCAATTCTGATTTGTCTCTGAGCTGTAGTTATGTATCTATAGTTGTCTGACACGAGTGCATGTTTCCTATTGACAACTGAGACTTAGGAATAAAGTACCTCTTTCTGATTAAGTGGTAAAATGATTTTTTTACTTTGAAAAATGTATATATTCCTCTTTTTATTTTGTTACTTAACAGGTACTTCTTACTTGGTTTTGGAAAAAATAAAATTACATTTTTATTAAATATATATATTATATATTATAAATATATATTATATTATTATATATTATATATATTATAATTATATATATTATATATTAAATATATATTTAATTAAAAATGAGAAATTTGAGTATCTCACTTGAACTATATATAAAACAATTTTTTAAAGAGCCTTTAAAGGCATGTTGGGTCAAGTTAGAACATTTTTTTTAGAGACAGCTTTTGTTTTTTTTAAGATTTTATTTATTCATGAGACACACACACACACACACACACACACAGAGAGGCAGAGACACACAGGCAGAGGGAGAAGCAGGCTCCATGCAGGGAGCCTGACGCGGGACTCGACCCGGGTCTCCAGGATTACGCCCTGGGCCGAAGGCAGGCGCTGAATCGCTGAGCCACCCGGGCTGCCCTAGAGACAGCTTTTGGTAAAAATAATCAAAACCCCATACTGCAGATATTTCTGCTTAGCTTATCCACTGGCAAAAAAGCAAACACTTAAGAATTGATTCATTCATTCAGCTCTGGTCTTTATTTATTTATTATTGGAATTTCATATTTCTTCCTGCTTGCTGAGTAAGCTGGACCCTGGTAGAGATAAGCCAACATTTTCTCAGGTCTGCCTTTCTAAACCTCTAGAGCTTAGTTTTAACTGATGGATTGGCTGCTTTGGACTTTGCTAGCTTGTGGCTTAAGGCTTTCTGGGTGTCTGCATTGGTAATTGAACTTCTGGAGGTACCACTGTTGAAGTTTGCTGATAATGGGTTTTGAAAAGAAAATCTTGATTTTCTTTATCATCTTTGTTGCTCATGTCTCTAGGCTGTCTTTGGAGATTAAGATCCCTGTGGGATTTTGACCTATGGTCCTATAGGTCTTGGAGTCTACTCCTCCTTCCCATGGGAAGTTGGAATATTGTAGTAGATGCTTAATAGTAGGAATGTGGTATTGGTCTTGCTTTTGCAACATGATAGGCTTTTTGTCATTCTCATTATTGTGGTAATTCTGTTGGTAATTGTGTGGATACCCCTTATTTCTACTCTGCAGCAACCTCAACTCTGGCCTTTCCATTTCCTGCCTAAAGTTACTCTTTATGGTAGTCAAGTCTTTAAATACATTCCCTTTGGAGTCATTTCTTATTGATGAAATCATATCAATATCTTATATTTAACTGCTTTATTTTCCTCCAAACCTTTGTTGCAGTGATCTTGTTCCTGCTAGTAGGTATTACTATTTTGAGGCTGTCAGGGGTGGTAGGGTCAGGAGACGGTAGCTGCTGTTCTTAACCTCACTACTCATGTTGTGAAGATGGTGATAAAGGTGGAGTTTGTTGCAGCAGTGGTAGCTCCTCCTAGATTATAATAGCGATCATCAGTCAGCTCATGGCTTTCAGGGGTTCAGTCTTCATTTCTGCTACCAATTAAACTCAGTCTCTCCTTTTTTCATATCCTGTGGCGCAGCCATCTATGGAGATATGTTGCTTGGATCTCCCACTAAGGAGCTACCACTCTGGGAGTACATTTAGCTCATAGTCTCTAGGTGTTAGCACCTTTAGTCTCCTTAGATTTTGAGCTGAGGCCTTGTGTTTTCTGGGAACCCTCTAGCCAGTGACTGAGCATGGTGTGGGTACTAGGGTATTTCCATTTTGGCTCAGTGTGGGACTCTTCTCATGGGCAGTCTTTGCTTTGGAGCTCCCTGCTGGTTTGGCTAGCACTTTGTCAGATCTGTGTCAGGGTCTGAGGCTCTGCCCGGTCCTGCTTTATATCTCCTCTCCTTCACAGGTTTCAGATCTGTATCATGGTTTGAAAGTTTTCCATGCACAGTCCTGTTTTACCCCCCTTTTATCTTTCACAGTAAAACTCTTATCCATCTGTCTCAACATCTTCCTGGAGGACCCTATTGACACCACTTCTTCTGGTTGTCTACCTAATTTTTGTCCATATCAAATTGCAGTGAATATTAATCTAGTTTCCCCTTTATTTAAAGTCTCTTCCTTGAATTCTCCCAGTAATTTCCAGCTTATCATTTCTTTCTACCTCCAACCCGTAATTCTCTAATGTCCACTTAATCTCAGGAAGTGCCTTATTATTACAGTAACATTTGTTTTATATACTGTATATCTGGGCTGTTTTGTGGGTTTTTTTTTTTTATATTTAAAGAGCTAAAATCTACAGATAAATTATAGATGTCCCAAGGATTTCATTCAGGAAATACATATAAAAATTCCATATGTTCAGTGTTTTACTAAATAATATAAAGATGCATATTTATAACAAATAGTTTCTACCTTTCTTTAATAATCAAATGGGTGGGTGAGATGTAAACAAGTAAAAAATACACACACACACACACACACACACACACAACCTATTGATATGCTTCTAGGTATTTGTCCCAAAGAAATAATCTGACAAGTGCAGTAGTATTCATTACAGTGTTTATAATAGTAAAAAATTGCACATAACTTAAGTGAGCATCAATAGATATTAAGTAAGTTGTGATAAACATAATGGACTATTCTGTAATAATTAAAAATAATTACTTAGTTCCATGGTTATTAACTAGTAAGATCCATAGTCTGTTAAGAGAGGGAAAACAAGTTTAATACATTAGATATAATGTCCTCTCTCTACAGATGGTAAGTACTAGAGCTGACAGAGAAGGTAAGGTATAGAATGGATTTGGATAAGCAGTATGCAGAGAGACAACATTTTAGATTACATTTCCCAACCTTTTTGGACTTAGAATCTTTTTCTCAATGTTATAAAAGTAATGTCAGTTTATATGGTATATAATAATGATTTTTACATAAAAGTGTTTTATATTAGTATAAGGAATTGTAGAGTATCAGTTCATAGTAAGGAAACTTTCTAATGATTATAACTATATAATGGTTTAAAATTTCAGGCATTCTCTGCCATTGTGTAACCATTTTTCATTTTTGTTGAAAATAAACTTTCAGTCTAACCCAGTTTCTTGAGTTCTGGTCTTGATGTAGCATACTGATTTATGATCCTATCGACAAAATTCATTCTGTAATCATGAGAGTCTGCAAATCCCTTGGGAGAAAACTAGTATCATAGTCTTTAAAAAGTTTAGAAATTATAAAAAATTATATTTGACATTATTTAGGAATACCATAATTTATGGCTTAAAAATGTATATTTTGTTCTCAGGCCGAATACATCAAGCAATGGTAACATCTTTAAATGAAGATAATGAAAGTGTAACTGTTGAATGGATAGAAAATGGAGATACAAAAGGCAAAGAGGTATGATCACTGAGTTTAAAATTTTTTTTTTTTTTAAGATTTTTAACTAATCTCTATACCCAGCATAGGACTCGAACCTATAACCCTGAGATCGAGAGGGGCATGCTCCACTGACTGAGCCAGCCAGGCACCCCCGATCGCTGGACTGAATTTTATTTCTAGCCTTGCAATCGAAGTTCCAAATATAAAACAAAACTGAAAAGCATATAATTTTTTATATAATACATGTATTCTTTATAATTTCTAGAAAAACTTTCAAATGATTAAAAAATTTCACTCAAAGAAAGGTAGATTCCTCCTGCACATTGCTGGTGATGGATCATATAATCAAGACCACAAAATGCTGTTTTAATATGTAGGTTATAATTGTAGATAATTTTGTTATCAAGGCAGTACTGTTCATGAGGCTGATACCATTTAATGGTTATTCTCCATGTGTAAATTAATACAATAAAAGGTTAATTGTCAGAATATACTCTAAGAAAAATGCATTTTTAAAACAGATTGACCTTGAGAGCATCTTTTCACTTAACCCTGACCTTGTACCTGATGAAGAAATTGAACCCAGTCCAGAAACACCTCCACCTCCAACATCTTCAGCCAAAGTAAACAAAATTGTAAAGGTTAGTCACAAAAATACAGAGCAGGGATTGTGTGTGTGTGTGTGTATGTTCTGGTTTGAAATGGACAACCTGTGACAAGTATGTTTTTAAGTATTTGTTTGCTTTTTTTAAAAACACTGTTTCTCTTTCTGCCATCTACATGCCATGTATATGTATGCATTCTTTTAAGAATTGAGGTTCTCCAGTTCACAGTTATGATAATCATTAGGTAAAATCCTAGGAATTGGGCAGCCCAGGTGGGTCAGCGGTTTAGCGCCGCGTTCAGCCCAGGGCCTGATCCTGGAGACCCAGGATCACTCCCGTGTCAGGCTCCCTGCATGGAGCCTGTTTCTCCCTCTGCTTGTGTCTCTGCCTCTCTCTCTCTCCTCTCTGTGTATTTTCATGAATAAATAAATAAAATCTTTAAAAAAATAAAATAAAATAAAATCCTAGGAATTCCTTTCCTGGTTAGGAATTTTCCTGAGACTAATAGCTCCGCAGGAGTAATGGATGTCAAAACCATTTGCTTGTCAGTATTTGTTGAATGAATACATTTGACTTAGATAAAGAGAGAATATTAATTATTCCAAATAAATTCTTATTCCAGTAGTCTTTGGAAATAGTAATTCTGCTATTTATATGTATTAGAGAAATATGGGAAATGATTGAATATAGTTTAACTACTGTGATATCTGTGAAGATAAACGTTAAGACCATTCTATATATCCTCCCTAATAGTTTTATTTTTACAGAAACAAAAGCCATGCCATTTTTATTTTATTTATTTATTATTATTGTTTTTTAAGATTTTATTATTTTTTTGACACAGAGATTGAGAGTATAAGCAGGGTGAGCAGCATAGGGAGAGGGAGAAGCAGGCTCTCTAATGAGTGGAGAGCCTGATGCAAGGCTCGATTCCAGGACCCTGGGATCATGACCTAAGCTGAAGGCAGACACTTAACTGACCCACCGAGGCGCCCCCATTTTTATTATTTTAAAAGATAATACTTCTTCCTGCCTATTGAAATTTTTCACTGTTAAAGTTGTGTATCAAAGTGCAGCTCTTTTGAAACCAGGTAGTCCCTCACAGTTGCTGAGTCTGCAGTTCTGTGTGTTTAATTCAACAAACATTTGTTAACTTTTCTACCTTGTTGATTGTATCATGCACAAAGATGAATGACAGGACTTCAACCCTATAGGAACTTGGTGTCTTACAGGGAAGACATAAGCATCCAAATCTTGTACATTAGAAGCTTCTAGAAGAACATTCTGCTTTTTAAATTGTATATGTGAATATAAGGCAGATTTTCAATTCATATAATTCAGCATATTGAGTGTCACTGCTTAGATGTCACTAGTTGTGACTCATAGATGAATTATTTTTCATATTTACCTTCACAACCTTGAAGGATCTTCATAGTTGATCTTTCCTTGGATGTCATTAGCAGCCTTTGCTGTGCATTAAAATCAGAGAATTTTTCAAAATACTGATGCCTTGTTCACTCTTAGAAATTTAGTTTTATTTTCTCTAAAGTGAGGCCCTGGCATCAATATTTTTTTTTGTTTTTTAAAGATTTATTTATTTATTCATGAGAGATAGACAGAGAGAGAAAGGCAGAGGGAGAAGCGGGCTCCTCACAGGGAGCCTGATGTGGAACTCGATCCTGGATTCCTGGATCATGACCTGAGCTGGAGGCAGGCACCCAACTGCTGAACTACCCAGGCGTCCCCCAATATTCTTTTAATAGTACCCATCTGATTTAAATGTGTAACTGTTCTCTCTAGTGTTAAGAGCCATGGCATTACTTGATATTGAATAAAATGAAGTCTTGGTAAATAAATGAAAGAATAAAAAATTTGCTGCCCTAGTCTGTGCAAGTGCAAAGTCTAATGAAGTCTTTTAGCAGAAATGATAACATTTCATGTATTTTGATGTTTAATAGTAGACTGTAAGTTGTCTAAAACCAATATTTTACTGATTACTCCGACATCCAAAGATGAGATACATACTTTTGAAACGTATTATAGTTTTACCATGGTGGCTAAAACTATGCCCTTTACTGAAATAACTTTTCTTTACTTCAGTTTTCTCATCTTTGAAACCAGAATAATAATAGGGTCGTTGTGAAGACTGAGTGACTTAATATGAGCAGTGCTTGCCTCATGCTAATTCCAGAATATTGGGAATTTTGGGGGGTAGGTAGTGGACAATAGTCATATAAAGAAACTTGATTATTGGTAGCATTGTAGTAATTATTAGGTTATTTATAGTTTTTTTAAATTTAGTTTTATATTATTGTTATTCATCTACTTCTGTTTAGTTAAAGGAAGTCAAAATTAAGATAAATATATGACAAGAAAAGAAAGTAAAATGAGCTTTTTGTTTTTCTCTTATAGAATCGACGGACTGTGGCTTCTATTAAGAATGACCCTCCTCCAAGAGATAACAGAGGTAAACATTTATCTATTAATTTTGCCCACCAAAATAAATCAAAAGTAAATATTCCCCTTGACATTATTATTCATTTAAACTTTTCATGGTTCATTTGAAGATTGGTATCTTCTTGATTTCCTAATACAATAATGTCAATAATATAAAAAAAGACTTAAAAAGGTAAGTGATGAATATGAAACTCTGTTATAGACAGTTTTTTAATTCATCTCTTTTACCCAGTAAGTTTATAGATTTTCTGTATATTTTCAGCAAGGAAATGTAAAGCACAGTTAATTTCTCTTCGACTCTTCAACAATTCAGAATTGTAATTTCTAGTGATGCTATTTCTCTGTATGTGGGGATGATGGGGTAGAACAGGCATATATGTATTAGAAGAGAGATTGAAGGTTAGAAGGGAAGTCCTGCACTTTAAACACTATCTCTATTTTTCTACTTATATAACACACACATTGGAGTATGCAAAATCTTCAGCAGAAGATTTGCATATTTGAGGGGCAAACGGATTTGGAATTTATAGGGAAGGTTGAAGGAGTGTGTTTTATGTTATGTACTTTAGAATTGTGTAAATTTCTCAAAATGAATGCATTTAAATTTATTTATTTATTTGTTTATTTCTTTATTATTATTTTTAAAGATTTTATTTACTTATTCATGAGACACAGAGAGAGAGAGTGAGGCAGAGACACAAGCAGAGGGAGAAGCAGGCTCGATGCGGGGAGCCCAATGTGGGTCTCGATCCCAGATCTCCAGGATCAGGCCCTGGGCTTGAAGGCAGCGCTAAACCGCTGAGCCACCCGGGCTGCCCTGCATTTAAATTTAAAATTTATATTTAGCACACACATATATTTTTTGTTTTGTTTTGTTCTTTTAAGATTTATTTATTCATTTGAGAGTGGGAGCACAAGTTGGGGCAGAGGGAGAGGGAGAGAGACTCCTCAAGCAGATTCCCTGCTGAATATGGAGCTGGACTCAGAGCTCAATTCCAGGACCTGAGATCATATGACCTGGGCTGAAATCAAGAGCCAGATGCTTAACTGAGCCACCCAGGCACCCCTGCACACTTATATTTTTTGAATGATTATTAAAAGTGAAGCTTGGAAAAAAAAAAAAAGTCAAGCTTGGCTTTGGTTTTTATGTAAATTACTTAGATTGATTTTTATAGCTAAAATTACATTTATGGAAACTAAGTCTGTATACAGAGTCTTAAAAACCTCTTGACTTGTTAATTTATTGAACAGAATTGATTATTACATATTCTGTTTACCCACATGAGTAGGAAACTGACAGTTTGCTAATGCAACTCAAATATCAGTTCTTATGAGATATCTGTTCCTTTTACTAGGGTTCACCTTTACTAATTTTCTGTTCTGAATTTAAAAATTTCATTTCACTTACAGTGGTTGGTTCTGCACGTGCACGGCCTAGTCAGCTTCCTGAGCAGTCTTCCTCTGCACAACAGAATGGTAGTGTTTCAGATATATCTCCAGTTCAAGCTGCAAAAAAGGAATTTGGACCCCCTTGTATGTAAATCACGTATCAAGGATTCAGTCATTTTAGGCATACATGTATTCTCTCTTGGTCATCCTTAGAAGTCCCCAAATGGTAAAGAGTAATGATAAGCTCGATTGCAGATTTCATTTTACCACTGTGGAAATTTTTTTTCTTGTTAGTTTAGTCTGTTAATTGGGTTTTGAAGTGTATATTTTGGAGAGAAATTATAAATACAAATTATAACAATCTTTCACTTGCTTTGAAAACTTAAAATTCTAGTCAGATGACAGTTTGACAGATGTTATGGAAGAAATTCTTATTTCTCAATCCTTTCCAATTCAAACATCTGTGATTGTAAACCAAGAGATGACATGTATCAATATGTTAAAGTCATTTTTCTTGACTATTTTTTTTTGACTATTTTTGTATATTGTCCTGTTCCTGGTTTTGTTAAAGCAGCTCATAAGTAAAGTTCACGTAGTTGTTAAAGCCATGCCTTGTCACTGTGTACCTTTATTTGGTGTATGTGGTGAAATTATACATTAAATTTTTGTGTACTATAAAGAAGAAAGCTCTACTTCTACAGCTCCTGTTTTTCTTTCAGCACGTAGAAAATCTAATTGTGTGAAAGAAGTAGAAAAATTACAAGAAAAACGAGAAAAAAGGAGACTGCAGCAGCAAGAACTTAGAGAAAAAAGAGCCCAGGTTTGTAACAGAAGCATTTATCTTTATGCATGAACTGAAGATGTAGACTGTGTCAGTGAAAATAATTTGCTTGTGCAAAAGTAGTTGAGGCATTCAATTAAAGATTTCAATATAGTTCCTTTGATATCTAAACTGATAATGGGAAATAACACAAACTGTTGTGAAAATACATTATTGTAACAGATTTTTACCATATGTACTTTTCATGTTTTAGTGGGTATGTGTTAGCCATAACATTTGTTCCACTTTGAATATTAAGCCGTTGTGTTACAACTCTAATGCAACCATCATTATACCTTTCAAGAATAATAAGATTCTGACTTTCTGAAAATGTCTACAAATAATATTCAGAAGAATTATCTAGTTAGAGGATTAAAAAGTAGATGATTATACTACAAATTTTATTATTTTTCCATGGTTAGTAAATTCAGCATATCACAATGAAAGGGGAAATTTCCTTGTGTTTAGATTTATGCTAGATATTAAAAGTATATCTCTTGTGCCTCTCATGTTCCCCTTAGATGGTAACAAAACTTTTTACTAACAATGGGAAAATTATATAGAAGACTAGTCTTTTTTATCTCTCTACAGGTCTTCGCCTATTGGAAAATCTGTTACTGTACATGTAACTTCTATTGTGCTTGTATTATATCTATCATATTCTTAGAACTTGTTTCTTCTAATAAAACATCAGGATTGTTTATTTAGGGGTATATTCAAATGCCCTTAATCATAGAGATGTTGTGTTATGGAATTGTGGAGCCAGTATAAAATTCAACTTGAATAAATCAGGTTATATCTTAAAAGTGATCTGAGAATGGCCAGTTGGGTTTTGAAATAAGTAAAATGCAATACAGATAGATCTACTAACACTTAGCATTGATGCCACCTGGTGTTTCCTTTGGGAACCTCATAATATTTTCACATTTCTTTTCACTGTACATTAAGTTTTTCCATTGGTATAGTTGGTATTATTTCCTAAAAGAAAGTTAATTGATAGTTTCATTAACAGTTTTGAAATTTATATTCAAAGCAAATCTGTATAAGGTGCAAGAAAAAAATATGACAGAATATTTTATCATTTATTGCTCATGGCTAGGAGAGGCTGTTAACTATTGGTATGTGTATCTTCATCTGAATTCTCTCAGTTTTGAAGCAAAAACACAAATTGCAGTCAGCATTCAGTAATTTGAATTTTAAAAATTTCAAAAATTATCTTGTCTTTTGATTCCTTTAAATCCTGTCCATTTGAGGTCATTTTACCATGCCTTAGCGGGTCAACCAAAGCAGAAAATGAACATAAATGAATTCATATTTCTACTCTGCTGACTCACTGCATTAAGCATGGGGAAGAAAAATCTGATTAAATGAATTTCTATAGAATTTTAATTGGTGCATAGTTCTTTATTGATATTTAAGATGAGCACTATTTCTCTTTAGCTTCATTTTCTAGGTTTAAGTTTTATGTGTAACATGAATTTTTGGAATAGTTGAGTGGTTTTAATGAGGAGTGTTTGGTTTACAGTTAACAGAATATATAGAGACTAACAGTTGTGTATTTAATATGAAAGTGAGTACTAGGCATATTTTTAATTCTGAACTCTGAAACTGAATTATGTCATGCTTTTAGTTTCAGTTTGGGTTTGGCTATAACAAATGATGCAATCTCCTAATTGATCTTTTTTAAAAACTTTAAAAAAAACAGACACTCTGCAATCTATGAATTTAATTTAAATTTGTAAACCATATTTAATTTGCAACAGGGTTGCCTGGGTGGCTCAGTCATTTGATACCTGAGTCTTGATCTTAGCTCAGGTATTGATCTTAGGGTGGTGAGTTTAAACCCCACCTTGGGCTCCACTTTGGGCATGGAGCCTCTTTGAAAAACAAAAACATAAATGCAACAATATCCATTATTGTAATGATAATAAATGATGAATTCTCTCTGTTTCCTTGTAGGATGTTGATGCTACAAACCCAAATTATGAAATAATGTGTATGATCAGAGACTTTAGAGGAAGTTTGGATTATAGACCATTAACAACAGCAGATCCTGTAAGATTCTTTTTAAACTATTGCTCTGGAATTTATTATGCTGTAAATTTTTTAAAAAAGACTTTTGATGCCCACTCAATACTAGATTTAGCTGTATAGTTTTTTCTTTATTTATGGGTGCACATTCCCCATGTTTTAAGGTGAAAATTTAGAAATCATTCCCATTTATGCTTATCTCCCATAATGTGATTTATTAGACTCACTTTTCACAGAGATGTTCTTTTCAAAGCAAAGCCTCTCTGTCTTTGGTAGAGCAGAACAACAGGTAAAGGAATGATGTAAGAAGACCCATTCTCCTTTCTGACCATGACTTAAACTTTTATCCTAGTTCCAAGCTTATTTCCTCTTTGACTTGGGCTATAGATTACACTATCAGTTTACTCTTAATTTGTAATTTAAAATAAATGTGAGGACATCCCCGGTGGTGCAGTGGTTTGGTGCCACCTGCAGCCCGGGGTGTGGTCCTGGAGACCCGGGATGGAGTCCCGTGTTGGGCTCCCTGCATGGAGCCTGCTTCTCCCTCTGCCTGTGTCTCTGCCTCTCTCTCTCTCTCTGTGTCTCTCATGAATAAATAAATAAAATCTTTTAAAAAAATAAAAATAAAACAAATGTGAGTTTGGCTTTTAAAACTAAGTGATGGTTGTTAAGGACTGTACTAGACCAGAAATTTAGTACTCAAAAAATATTCTGCTGTCTTATTATTCAATTACTTTCCTTTTGAAGAATGAGAATTTTTTGGACAGGGAATAATAGTTTGTGAGTAACTGATACTTAAGAAAAATAATCCTTCTGACCTAGCCTGTACAGAATACCTTGGGTACATAAAATACATTTGTGTCAGGCTGTTGTATTGCTTAGGATTTCATAGAGTTGTTGGTCATAATACTTGTATGTATGTTTTAGTCTTTGCTATCCCTACATGCATTTAACCTAAACTGTGTCTGAACTCAATAGGACAGGGATTGGCAAACTTTTTCTTAAAAGGCCCTGCTAGTAAATAATTTTGGCTTTGTGAACCATATGCTCTTCACAACTACTCAATTTTGCCTTTGTAGTATGAAAGCAGCCATAGATGATACATGAACAAATGAGTGCAACTGTCTGATTAAAACTTGACAGATGCAAGTAGTGGGCTGGATTATGCCTGCAGACCATACTTAGCCAATTTCTGTGTTATGTATTTAATTATTATTAAAAGGCAAGTATTGGGAAAATATTTACGTGTAAGAATTGGCCTATTATAAAATTACTGAAGTTATTTTGCTCACTAATAATGAGAATTGCATTTCTTGCTATAATTAGTATACGTGGTATGAAATTTTGCTTTTGTTATATGCCGTGTACCTTGAAGGTGTAAGTCAGCTTCTTAATGTGAACTTAATGCTACTAAGAACAGTAGTGCCATCTACAAAATTATTTCCTAATTATTTACCAAATAACAAAATGAATGATTTTCCATTAGGCTTAGAATTTTAGAAATCGTTATGTCTGTTAACTATTAAAATTTGTACATTCTAATTTGTTTTTTGAACTTTTTATTTATCCTATTTGTGCTATGCAGAAATTTCTAAAACCTTTAGGAAATACTGCATAACTGACTTTTCAGTGTTTTACATAACACTGATGAATATTGAAATAAAATATTTTACTTCTAGATCGATGAACATAGGATATGTGTTTGTGTAAGAAAACGACCACTCAATAAAAAAGGTATGCTGCTTTTTGAACTCTTAATAGAAGTTTGACTTTTTCCAGTTTGTAATTTATTTTGATAGAAATTAAATTGATTTAGAAGAGTTAAATATGAATCACTTTATTTGTACATAATCATTATGCAGATTTCTTTGGTTAGATCTGCTGATTTGTTATTGCTCTGTGAATCATTGCCATTCCTGGTTATTGCTTCACAGAAATTTTGATAGATTTTTTTTTACTTAGTTGTTGGAATATGTCTTCTTGAATTGCATATTTATAAGATATTTATATTTATAGAGCTTAATACTTGTACTAAAATTCTTATTTTTAAAAAAATACTTATTACATTCAAATGCTATGAAAATTACTGGGCATTGATTTTTATTTATTCTTTTAGAAACTCAAATGAAAGATCTTGATGTAATCACAATCCCCAGTAAAGATGTTGTGATGGTACATGAACCGAAACAAAAAGTAGATTTAACAAGGTACCTAGAAAACCAAACATTTCGTTTCGATTATGCCTTTGATGACTCAGCTCCTAATGAAATGGTTTACAGGTAGGTAAATTTGTTTTAAATAATAATTTTGTTCATATACTGTGTATTTATCACTACCCTGAACCTTGCCTTGATGTTGGCATCTCTCTCCAAAAGTGCAGTATGCTTTTTATTCTGAATTTGAGCAAAGGTTATGTAATAAGCACAATATGAATATTAATACTTAACTCCCTTTAATGTTCCTTCTAAATCATAGTTTTTATTAATAATTATATATGTATCATACATTTTACATATACATATATATTTATATGTGGACAGGAAATTTCTGAAAAATGTAGGCATTTCTGTATTTCTAGGAATGTGATGTGGTTAGAAGGGGGCTTTTACTTTTGCTTTTTAATCTCTGTATAGTAAAGAATCTCTACTAGTAAGGGAATATTTATTATATATCGGTTCTTAATTTTTTCAGATCTTTATTTCACGTTACCGCCACTTAAGGCAAAAGAAAAACCTTTGTAAACCTACTTGTAGGGATGCCTGGGTGGCTCAGTGGTTAAGCATCTGTCTTTGGCTCAGGGGCATGATCCTGGAGTCCTGGGATCGAGTCCCACATCGGGCTCCTTGCAGGGACCTATGTCTCTGCCTCTCTCTGTGTGCCTTTCATAAATAAATAAATAAAATACTTAAACAAAAAACAAAAACAAAACCTACTTGCATTTGTCTAATTTCTATCATCTTTAAGCATTGGAATAGTTTTAGTACATGAAATTCTTTATATGTTCACATATTCAACTTATAGACACCTCAAACTTATTATTATAAGTTTTATGCCAAATTTAGATTTTTATACATAGTTTGTAAACATTTCCTTCTAATTATAATAGGTCAGTTCTAACAGCAGTGCTATTTTAATCTATTTAGAACTTTCTTGGCAATTACTTGAATGCTTTTTCATTGCCCTTTCATGTTATAAATATGGCTGGAAAACAGAAAATTAAAGCTTTAATAAGAGCCCTAAGAATTGAAGACTTATTAATGAAATATTATTGAAGTCAACTCCATTGGGCTTAAGCCTTATAAACTGGGAGTTCAGTTGTAAAGAAAGAGGAGAAAATTAAAGGATATATGAACGCTAAATGGTATTATGAAGAATTTGTTTTAAAAGGGAACTATAAGTATAAATTGCATATTTTTTACCTTTCTGAGCATGGAGTCCTCTCTTCACCCCTACTCCCTTTTCTGCTTCCACTCCTGCCTCATAAAATATGTCTGTTTGACTTTATAAGGTATGTTTCTATAAATATGTAGGATCTAGTAAACATTTGTTTTACCTTGCTTTTTTTTTTAAATTGTTATTTATTTATGATAGAGAGAGAGAGAGGCAGAGACACAGGCAGAGGGAGAAACAGGCTCCATGCACCGGGAGCCCGATGTGGGATTCGATCCCGAGGCTCCAGGATTGCGCCTGGACCAAAGGCAGGCGCTAAACCGCTGCGCCACCCAGGGATCCCTGTTTTACCTTGCTTCTTAACTTTACCAATATTGATGCTGTCTCCTTTGTGTAGCTTTGAGGGAGTGTGAGTTAGGCCTTGTGCTCTCTCTCTCTCTCTTCTCTCTCTCTCTCATGAATAAATAAATAAAAATCTTAAAAAAAATCAGAACTATGTAAAGTGTTCCATGTACATTATTTTGAAGCGTACATAAAAAGATTTGTTTCCTGTTACACTTTTTAGCGCTCCACTCAGTGAAGTATTCCTTATCTCTCCTTTTAATTTTAACTCTAGTGTGATTATGATATTTTGAAAAATAATCTAGACTATAATATTTTGGCATCCTTCTCCTAAGACTATCAACTCTAAACTCATTGTCTTATTAAGTATTATTTATTGTATTTATTTAGCTACATTCAAGTAAATCCTGTTAGTTTGCTACTTGTGTAAATGGTCTTAAGATAATCACTGTTGATTTTGTTTCCGTTAAAACTTTTACTCCTGGTGTTGTGGGTTTTTTGTTTGGTTGGTTTTTTTGCTTTTCATTTTATAAGCCTTGTCTGCCTAATATTATGATCTTTTGTTGTTATTTTTTAAAACTTTCATGGTGTCTTCTATTTATAAATGTCTTCGTTCAGTTACTGTCATTTTTAATTTTTTGGTCCATTGTGACCATCGTTTATTATGGAATTGCTTGAAATTATGCTTTAAAGAGCTTTAAGCAATTTTAGAATAAGGTAATTTAAAAATTTTAAACAAATCAATGGACTCAATAGTAGTCTGACAGTTGAGCCCATTGATATGTTTAAAAATTTGGTAGGAGTTTTATTAATAACTTGATATTGTATTTTTAATTTAAATATTGGTGGGATATTCTGACTAATGCATTTTATTTTTAAGATTTACAGCTAGACCACTAGTGGAAACTATATTTGAAAGGGGAATGGCTACATGCTTTGCTTATGGGCAGACTGGAAGTGGAAAAACTCATGTAAGTAATTCATTTCAGTTATATCCTGCTATTTTCCTTATAGCTTAATTCTAAAACCTATATTCTTAAGATTTATTGCTGTGTCTATTATTATTTCCTTTTAACATACAGACTATGGGAGGTGACTTTTCAGGCAAGAACCAAGATTGTTCTAAAGGAATTTATGCATTAGCAGGTAACTGTCTTTTCTGCATATCATTTATAATATTCTTGAATATTACTCAGTTGTCTTTGAAATAAAACTTGGAAATATTATTCAGGACTTTAAGGATAATCATAAAGCTAAACATATTATGTCAATTTTAGGTTGTCAGACTGCTTGAAAAGGATTGAGCTTATTAAGCTTTTGGGACAGAAATCTTGATTATATTTGTGTCATTTTATTCTGGCATATTATTGAAGCTTAGTATTTGTTTTGAAGCAGTATTTTTTGAGTAGCTGATGAAAAGCTTCTTTTTGGTATGATTACAGGAATAACCTTACTATGACCACCTGTAATTTTATGTTATTTATAAGAATAAGTAGTAACATTTTTCTTTTGAATATGAGAGTGACATCTATACTTAATGTAAATAAATTATTACTATTTTCTTGTAAAATTAATGTTTAGTCTTCATTTTTATTGTACTGTTATTCTAGGTAAAGATTAACTGATTCCTCTAAATCCTTTTTAAAGATAGTATTTGTAACATTCTTAACGAATTTTCTCCATATGAAATTCTTGACAGCTCGAGATGTCTTTTTAATGTTAAAGAAACCAAATTATAAGAAGTTAGAACTTCAAGTATATGCAACCTTTTTTGAAATTTATAGTGGGAAGGTAAGTGGAAACTTAAAAAAAAAAAAAAAACCCTGATGGGGGGGGCGGTGTTTAAATTGTGGTTTAATATGTGCATAACATAAAATTTTACACTTTAACCAATTGTTGTGTACAAGTTCAGTCGCATTAACTACTTTCATGTTGTAAAACTATTGCCAGCATGTATTTTTATATACTCACATTTTTTGTTAGCATTTTGTTGAGATTTTTAAAAATTTCCTTTGAAACTCTCAACTTAAGTTTTGAGCATTATTCTAATTATTCTGATTTTCTGAAATAATGTTTGGACTCTGATTCATTTTTACAGAACTGAAGTTTTTTTTTTCCCCTTAAAGCTAGTTTTCTAATTTGGCTTTTTTTCTAACAGGTGTTTGACTTACTAAACAGGAAAACAAAATTAAGAGTGCTAGAAGATGGAAAACAGCAGGTTCAAGTGGTGGGATTACAGGAACGGGAGGTCAAATGTGTTGAAGATGTACTGAAACTCATTGATATAGGCAACAGTTGCAGGTAAATTTCATTTTAATTGGGAAAGGAAATTTTAATTTCTTAATCAGTTGTAGGTAATTTGAGTATCTAAAACAAAGCAAAGGTGTTACTTAGTACATCTTGGTAGTAAAAGTTTGTTCATAAAAACTTAACATTAACTTTGAGTGACATCTACTATATTGATAATCGTACTACAAATAGACTATAAGTATGCCAGATTAAAGTATATAAATCTGGCTGTGTTGAAGTGTTGTAAGTCAGATTGTCCCTTTTGTATTTAAAAGATGAGAGCTGGATGGTTTTTTGCAGGTTCTTTCATGAACTACTGTGGTTTAAAACATAAAAACTGAAGTTTTTTTATTTTAATCTAAAATATCTTTAATCATGTTGTAGAACATCCGGTCAAACATCTGCAAATGCACATTCATCTCGGAGCCATGCAGTGTTTCAGATTATTCTTAGAAGGAAAGGAAAACTACATGGCAAATTTTCTCTCATTGATTTGGCTGGAAATGAACGAGGAGCCGATACTTCCAGTGCAGACAGGCAAACCAGGCTTGAAGGTGCTGAAATTAATAAAAGCCTTTTAGCACTCAAGGTAAATGACATGTATTTAATTATGAAAAGTCTTTTGCTTTTTGACTTTAATTTTGTTTAGAGTAGCTACAAAGTGATAGTACCTGTAACACCTAGTAAGTAAGAGATGTTACCAAATTTGTTTATTTATAGTTGTAGGTTTTTATTGTACCAGAGATTTTCTTTACACATAATCATTTTTTTAGGGTGAATAAGGGATCTGTTAGTTGGCAGACAAATTCTAATCCTACTTAAGGAGATTGCACAGGGCTTTAATCAGCCATATTATTTTTGAGGAAGGCAAGGAACCATAAAGCTTAGCCAAAAAATACTGTCCCATAGAAATGCAGAATGGCTTTCAGAAATATAGAGCGGCAGTATTATATCCCTTGATTGACTTGAAAAAAAAAAAAAAGGATTGTCAGGACACAAGAAAATACTGTTTTTTCTTTTGTGATGTGATGCTTAAAGTTAGATTATTATCCTTCTACCTTTTACTTCTAAATACTAGAGTATTTAGTTAGAGTCTCCTGAAGAATTTTTTGGAATAATAAATACTTTGTTGTTGTTCTTGTTATTAGTTTCAATTTCTTGAGTTAGGATTTATGAGACCATTTCCATCTTTACTATGCTCTAAACCTGTCACTAGGATTACCAGAGCTGATCAGATCTTAAATGTTAGGGTTATGGTAAAAGGCTTTTCAAGTATATTAATTAAGATTACTCTTTATTAGTAGCCTAATCTGTGAAACTTACTTTCTTAATTTTCAGGAGTGCATCAGAGCCTTAGGTAGAAATAAACCTCATACTCCTTTCAGAGCAAGTAAACTCACTCAGGTGTTAAGAGATTCATTCATAGGTGAAAATTCTCGTACCTGCATGGTAAGTTTGTGTTTGTTTGTTTTGTTTTAACCCTGATAATGAATTAACTCAAAATATATATGAAAAGATTCTAATGTACATTAACAACAATCATTTAAATCCTTCTATTGTGAGAGATACAGTGATACTTAAGATGTGGTCCCTACCAATCTGATAGAGAGGATTATATTGCAGTTATAATGCATTCTACTAATTCCAACATCTGAGTCTACTTGAGGTTGTTCTTCATTGATTTTTATTTTCCTTAAATATGGTTCACACTTTTCTGTTTCCTAGTATATCTGGTAATACTGGTTTATGATTTTCATTATGAATAAATACCTTATAGACCCTCTGGATTCTCTTATGTTCTAAAGATTATTGATTTTTTGTTGTTTTAGCAAGAAGTGAACTTATTTCAAACTTTGGTCTCCCGTGCTTTGGGAGGTAACTGAAATTGGAAAAACTGTCCAGTTCTTAAGAGTTAGTTATATTGCGTAAGCCTTGTGTATGCTTGGTTCAAGAATCAGCTAGAGGTTGGGCAATTTATATGTAGAGTTTTTGGTTGTCAAGATTACTTCCCTCTGTGATTATCTCTCTCTTCTGGGAGACCTCACTTTTTAGCTGCTTTAATTCTGCTTTTCAAATTTTGTTCTTTAAACAGTGAAATTCCAGTTTTCTTTTTTTTGGTAAGGATTTTATTTATTTATTTGTGAGAGAGAGGAAGAGAGAGAGAAAGCAAGCAGGGGAGAGAGGCAGAGAGAAAGAGGAAAAACCCGACTCCCCACTGAGCTGGGAGCCCAAAGTAGAATTTGATCCCAGGACCCTGGGATCATGACCTGAGCCAAAGGCAGGCATTAACCAACTGAGCCATCCAGGTGCCCTGTGAAATTCGTTTTCTTTTTTTTTTTTTTAATTTTTATTTATTTATGATAGTTACACAGAGAGAGAGAGAGAGAGAGAGGCAGAGACACAGGCAGAGGGAGAAGCAGGCTCCATGCACCGGGAGCCCGACGTGGGATTCGATCCCGGGTCTCCAGGATCGCGCCCTGGGCCAAAGGCAGGCGCCAAACCGCTGCGCCACCCAGGGATCCCTGAAATTCGTTTTCTAGTGAAATTTTAGTTGCCCTGTGTGACAGCAGCAGGGCTTGCCCTTAGGCAAAAAAAAAAAAAAAGAAAAAACCTGGATGGAGAAGACAAAATGGGAGCACTCAGTGCTATTCCCTTCTAGGTTTTGACCTCCATTTTCTGATTTAAATCTTTTTCTGCTGTTTTCAGAGAGTTGCTTATATTTCATGTGGTTTATGATTATTATCTGATTTTTGGTATGGTATAGCAAATTTTCTTGGAATTTGGATATCATAAATAAATTATTTATTTTTTATAATTTTTTTAAATAACCATTTTAAGATTAGATCTTAATGAGCTATATGTTGGTATTAATGTGTCCGTCATTTATAACATTTTCTTTACCTTTGTGTTTTTCTCCTTTAGATTGCCACAATCTCTCCAGGAATGGCATCCTGTGAAAATACTCTTAATACATTAAGATATGCAAATAGGTATGTGAAGTGGTTATTCAGTTTGAAATTTGAGGGGAAAATAAAAAAAAAAAAAAAAAAAAAAGGGATCCCTGGGTGGCGCAGCGGTTTGGCGCCTGCCTTTGGCCCAGGGCGCGATCCTGGAGACCCAGGATCGAATCCCACGTCGGGCTCCCGGTGCATGGAGCATGCTTCTCCCTCTGCCTGTGTCTCTGCGCCTCTCTCTCTCTCTCTGTGACTATCATAAATAAATAAAAATTAAAAAATAAAATAAAAAAAAAAAAGAAATTTGAGGGGAGTAGAACAGTATTAAGGTTGACTTAATATCTGATAGAATAAATTTATTATGTTTTTCTTTCAATTTTTAAAAATTTTTTGCATATTATTCATTAAGATATGGTATGTAGAGTCATTTGATCAAGTTCTGAAAATAAATGGAAATATGTAATTTGGAAGGAGATTTAGGCCGTTAGTAGAATTGGCCTTTCTATCCTAGAACCTGATTACATTTTTATGTTTTACCAAGATATAGTTCATATTTTTTTACTGCATTCGAATCATGCACATTTTTCCTATTAAGAATCTGAGTGAATTAGAGGGGACCTGTCTATATTTCTTACGTAGTTTTATCTGTATGTTAAAAATTATTTCTGGTAATATTAAGTGTTGTATTAAGAATCTAGAGTTTGAATAAGTAATGGTAGCACATTTCTCTGGCATTCTTTGAGTTATATTTTATTATTCATATACTGGTGTTACAAACTTTAATGGATAATGGTGTTATTACAAATGAAAGGACAAAAAGCGTACTTAAAATAATCATTCCTTATATTCATGAAATGCCCTTGGAATTTTGGAGTATGATGGACATATTTATATTTGTTCCATAAATTATTCCTATTGCTCTTGTTTTTAAAAAACTTGACTATATATTTGAAATTTCTATTATCACATATTGCATTTGTGATTTTAATATTTAGAGGTCAAATTCCTCTTTGTATTCCATTTTTACTGTGGACATTCTCTTAATTTTGCTAAATACAAATATTTGTCCTATATTTTAATTACTATGGAAATTTTTATCTTTTTTTAAAACAGGGACTACACATGAATACAGAGAAGTACCAAAAACTTTTTTTTTTTTTTAAGTACCAAAAACTTAAGTGAATCATCTAATAAGTATTTATACAGTGAAAATTCCTTTTGTCAGATGGGGAATAGAACATTTCTACCTCTCTCGAAAGTTCCCTATATGTTCCCTCCTGATTATAAATCCTGAATAACATGTCCAAATTCATTAATCTCTCCTTCAAGATAGACATTATCTTGACTTCTGTGGCATAATTTTTTTGGTTTTTTCTTCATCTCTTTTTAGAGATAGTTTTACTACCTATGACTTCTATCTCTGAACAACATTAGGTAGCTATGTTTGAACTTTACATAAATGGTCATGCCCTTTATTCTTTTGTGATTTGATTTGTTTCAACTGGATACAGTTTTTTTTTAATGAGAGTAAAAACTATTGGAAAGTATAAGCCTTTTGACATTTTGTAAAAAGATACCCAAATAACTTCTTTAAAAGTATAATGGAACTTTATTTCTAAATGTAGTCTCTTTAAACTTTGAATTAAGGGCTCTGAGCTGCAAACATTTATGGTACTTTTAACTCATTTTTATAATGAACACTTTTGGTATGTGGTGTTTTTGTCATTAATTTAAAATGCTTCTTATTTCAAATTGTTCACGGGAGAGATGAGCAACAGCTTAGTATAGCAGAAGATTGCCATGTTATAGAATTAAAAGAAACATAGCCCCTCCTTGTCTTCAGACTTCTGACTGCAGAGGAATCTCCCTAATGTGAAAATTCTTTCTCTGGCCATTCCTGTAGTTCATTTAGGTCCAAGTAAATGTTTTAATTTATTATCATGTATTGTAATTCATCTGCAACATGACTAACCATCTGGGACAAATAATTCTGTCTTTTCTTTCCAAATCTCTAGGAATAAAGATTTTCAACCTCCCTTGATAACTCATCTGAGGAATATAATTTCCACATATAGTATTTACTGTTTGAGTTGGACAAGAGTGCTTGGAATAGAGAAAATATTAGCCTATTAGGGGCTATTAGGGTATCTAAATTAGGAGATTCTGAAAGAATTCTAAATGGAGCTGGGAGTAAAAAGAATGATGTCACTGTTAGAAATTTAGATTATGTCAGTCTCTGTATGGTAAATAAACTTTCCAAAGTAACTATGAACAATGAAGGGCAGCTGAATATAGTATTGAACCTGTGATAACAGACATTACCAACAGATCAAAGAAAGATTGTAAGTAGAAGAAATATATTAGTTTGATCTATATGTAATTATTAGTTTGATCTGTATATTTATGACCCAACAAAACAGTAATTTCATTTAGATCAAATCTAAAAGAAGTAACGAGAAAAACAGACGGTCCGTATATTGGATATTTAAGTAACATCATGTTTGTACTCAAAGTTAGGTGTATCTCACTTATGCATGCCACATTCTCATTGAATGACCTTGGGTAAGATGCATTATTGCTCTGAACCAATTTCTTATCTGCAAAATGGCAAAAATAGTATCATGAGAAAATATAACTCTTTAGAGACGTTAACAAAAGCAATTTAAAATCCACTACTAAATAAATTTTTCTTAACCAGGGTTCTTCATCTGAACCAAACATAAAATTATTTGAGTGATTGATTTCTCATTTTATATCAAGGATGAAACTATTCTAGATGCATAGGAAAGAAGTTAATTCATTACAAACAGCGGATGCCATTAGGACTTAATACTCCTGTTCTCTTTTAAAAGACTGCAAGAGTATTGAGGGCTCATTAATGTTAACAAAATATTTGTAATACTTACTACCCAAGGAGATTTGATTAATAATCGTGTAGTTCAAGAAGAAGCATTTCAATTATAGGTGGTCATCTAGTTAAACTTCTGGAGAGGATGAGAAAAAGGGAAAGCACACCAGAAAGGAAGGACTGTGGAGTAAGGAGTCAAATAGGACAGAGAAATTAAAAATTATTATTAAAATAGTCTAAATACAGTAAGTCACAACAATGTTGATACCTTTTTCTGAACAAATTAAACTGAATATGAAATAAAAACTTGAAATATGGATTACTGTCTTTACAAGAGCATTTTCTTTTAATTTGTTGCTGTTTTGGTGCTGCAGAGTAAAGGAGTTTGGAATTAGTCCATCAGACATTCCCTTCTCACAGGGTAGTGGCAGTCGCCCTGATCTCTCTCCTTCTTATGAATATGACGACTTTTCTCCTTCGATTACCAGGTCTACTTCCTTATATGCATAAGATGTTTATTTTCATAGTTTCTTTTGAGTTGTGTTACATATAAATATTTCATTTATACTTTTGTGCTTATTAGCCTTTTTATTTTTCATTTTCATTTCATTTGGCAGGTGATGATTGTACTGCATGATCATTTGTGTGTACTTTATTGATTTATTTGCTTTAACATGTTGATTTAGAATTCAAGCTTCCTTTTTCCCCTCATTTTTAAGGATGATGTCATCTTTGCATATTTATGGTTGAAAAGTAAACTATCTTGTTTAAAATGAGAAGTTTATCGTTACTCTGTATGTTCTTATAAATTTCCTTGTCTGCAAGGAAATAACAAGAATCTTCTTGATTTACAATGTGTACCCTCCCACTTTGGAAATTGAAGTATAATAAACATTTTTTAAATAATAGAACTTTATAACTTACAATCTTTATATATTAGAAATATGATTTCACAGGTAGCTATTTTAATAGACATTATAACAACTAAATATCTACAAAGTGTATTAAAAGTTCTGTGATTTTGGCAACAATCGATTTACTGATCTAAGTGCAGTTGTTAGCATTCTTCTGTTTATATGATTTAATTGCAAAAACCGTTATTTTGCTTTGAAATATTGAATTTAAATACTTTGCTAATTGTCATTTATTATGGAACAATAATTATATTTGAAATAATTATAAAGTTACCTCAATAAATTCTGAAAGTTAATCACCAAATCTCCCTTTAGTGTTTATGCAGATTTCAGGTGAACTTGATCTGGAAAGCTGACATCATCAATTTTAATATGTAGTTGAATTGCCTTTTTATTGAATAGGGTGGTAGTTTTTTTGTTCGTGTCCTTGTTAATTTTAGGTGTCTCTCATGTATTTATAGGGTGAAAGAATTGACTGTGGATCCAAATGCTGCTGGTGATGTCCGTCCAATTATGCACCATCCACCAAATCAGATTGATGACTTAGAGGCACAGTGGGGTGTGGGGAGTTCCCCTCAGAGAGATGATCTAAAACTTCTTTGTGAACAAAATGTGAGTGACTATATAATTACAGTTATTTGATTATAGTACATTTCATACATCACCAAACTTAATAGTTAAAAACTACTATATAAATTAGAAAAAATAATTAATTAATTAATTAATTAATTAATTAGAGGTCAGTAGACTGCAGCCTATGGGCCAGCCATCTGTTTTTACACATAAAGTTTTACTGAATTATGTCCATACTTATACATTTACGAATTGGCTAGCTGCTTTCTTGCACAAAAGCATTGGCAAAAACTATATGGCTCACCAGCCTGAAATAGATACTGTTTGCCTTTTAAAAAATTTACTGACCCTATTTTCCAGATTTTCTATCAGTATTAAAATTTGGGGGTTTCAAAAGTAATATAAGGAAAAAAACAAGTTTAGGAATTATGCATATAATATGCACATAGCTTAAAAACAAAATTAACTGTGGGCACATGCATATATATTAAAAGGATGCACGTACTATGTCAAACATGGCAAAATTTAACATTTGTTAAATATAGTTGAATTCTATGTGTTTAAATGGCTAGTGACATTTTATAATTTAACAATTTAATTCCCAATTACTCAAAAAATATTAATGTACCCATTCTATAAGGACAGCAAGGTCTAAAGAAGTAACCAAGAAAGCACCAACAATACACGTTTTCACATAATTAACATATTGAGGAAATTTCTATCTGTATGTCAGATGTAAAAGTATATATAACTTATTTTTTAAAATATCTATGTAGTTTTCTCATTTTCTTCTCAGTAAGAATCGCATAGTAGTACTTTCTCATGATAAAAGATGGTATTTATTAGTTGCTGACTACATAATTTATATTTGCTAAGCATTTTACTTATTACCTAATGTAATCCTTACAACTCTATGTGGTAGATACCATAATTATTTCTGCTTTTTAACTGATTTTCTAAAAGCTGAGGGAACTTGAGGCTCCTGGTTAAAAGTAAGAGTTCTAAGCTTTGAACCATGGAAGTGAAAAACTGAAAATGAGATCCTGCCCTAGTCTATCTCCCCTGTCTCCAAAAGTTTGAAGGACAGTATAACAGTTTTTTGGGTTTTTTTTATAAAGATTTTCTATATTTATTCATGAGCGAGACACAGGCACAGACACAGGCAGAGGGAGAAGCAGGCTCCATTCAGGGAGCCCGACGTGGGACTTGATCCTGGGTCTCCAGGATCACACCCTGGGCCGAAGGCGGGCGCCAAACCGCTGAGCCACCTGGGCTGCCCTAGCAGCTTTTTATATTCTTGAAACAGACCATGCAGTGTACCTAGATATGGTGTCTCTTAAGAATGTGGAAAACAAAAACAGAATAGCCCCCTCTATAGCAGGTCTTTTCTTTTTTATTCTACTGTTGTTGGGTTGGATCTTGGTAGGACTTTAATTTGAAGAAGTTGGCTAGGACCGATCCAGAGGCTTAAAGCATAACATGATAAGTTCTTGTAGTCTCCATATCTGAGAGTGAGTGAGTTTCTTTGAATTTTTCCATTCCCAGGGAACTATCTTGAGGTGGTTCAGCATTAGCATCTAGTTAAGTTTACTGGTACATGTGTATATATTCTTATTATATTAAGTCTTAACAAGGTGAATTAAAATGGGATAGTATCGAAGACATGTCCTACAGATAAAACCAACAGAAGTACACAAAGTAAAAGGTAATAAAGAGCATTAGAATTCCAGAGATAGTTGTATAGACAAAAAAGTATTCTAGGTAGACTGCATAGAAGTGATAGGAACTTGCATAATATCTTAAAGCAAAAAGGGATACCTGGGTGGCGCGGCGGTTTAGTGCCTGCCTTTGACCCAGGGCGTGATCCTGGAGACCCGGGATCGAATCCCACGTCGGGCTCCCGGTGCATGGAGCCTGCTTCTCCCTCTGCCTGTGTGTCTCTGCCTCTCTCTCTCTCTCTCTCTCTGTGTGACTATCATTAAAAAAAATTTTTTTTTTTTAAATATCTTAAAGCAAAAGAAAGAGGATATTCTGGGCTTGACAGGGAGGTGGGCAACCAAATGAGTAAAGTTGGTTGAATGTGTTTATCAGAGAGGGTGGGAGAGAGAGAGAAAGAGAAATACCTGCCTGCATGTCTTAATATGAAAACAGATACTTGTTTCACAAAGAGAAGAGAAAAAGTTCTTTGGCCAACTTGATTATTTTATTATTTATTATTTTAAACTTTTAGGGTTGGTAGTATACTGATTGAAATCAAATGTCTACTTAGACTATTTAACCAAAATATGTATATACATTTAGACTTGTGTATTTTGTTTGAAACACTGCTTTTTTTGCTCATATTTTATAAAACAATTTTAAATAAACCTCATCACTAAAGCCACATTTTGAAGAGATATAAATCATCAGATACTGGAGTTGGGAAAGAAGCTCAAAAAAGAAAGCAAGGCTAGAAAAATTTTCACTTGATGTAGGACTAAGAATATATTGTATTTATGTATGTGGGGTTTTTGTTGATGAGGTGAAGTTGTCAATTGTCAATTAAGATTTCTGTAAAAACTGGCAAGCATATTGTATGGTGTAATTCGGAAATTAATATTTAGTAAGTTGAAACCTTCAGAATACTAATTTGATAGGGTCATAAAAGACATTATCTTGAAATCTCTTTTCTGGTGAAAAAGATATTTAAGATGTACGTATGACTTAAATTGTTAGTGAAAATTATTTTTTTTTAATTTTTTTTTAATTTTTATTTATTTATGATAGTCACACAGAATGAGAGAGAGAGAGAGGCAGAGACATAGGCAGAGGGAGAAGCAGGCTCCATGCACCGGGAGCCCGACGTGGGATTCGATCCTGGGTCTCCAGGATCGCGCCCTGGGCCAAAGACAGGCACTAAACCACTGCGCCACCCAGGGATCCCTGTTAGTGAAAATTAAATACAGAGGAAATACTTTAGCATATTTACAGCCTAATAATAAATGTATTCTTGAAAAATTGCCTTATTCCAAAAGAGATTGGTTTTTTAGGGTTATTCTGCGGTGAAGCCTGGACTAAGTGAAAACTACCCCTTATGATAGGCTTAAATTTGGGGTGTCTTAGTGCTACATCAAATATTTTTGACCCATAAAAAGAAGTTATGGCTTTGCCTTTTGTATTTTAGTAGTCTTTATCTTTCAAGCTTCCTCAGTTTCTAAATGACATTTTTTATAAATGACCTAGAAAAACTACTTTATGTAATATTTAAAATGTAAACCTTATGTCCTAATTTTTTAAACTGTGTTCATCTTAAGGAAGAAGAAGTTTCTCCCCAGTTGTTTACTTTCCACGAAGCGGTCTCACAAATGGTAGAAATGGAAGAACAAGTTGTAGAAGACCACAGGGCAGTGTTCCAGGTAAAGTAAGACAGGACCTTTCATCAAAGTGTTTCTTTAGGGAAATTAAGAACTTTCATAATACTTTGAGTATTATGCTAATCTAAAAAAATACTTGTGCATATGGGTATTTGTAGGGTATATGGGATATTTTGAGAAGAATGAATGATGGTTACAAACAGTGGTTTTTTTGCACTATGGTGAAAAGATCTAGTTTATTTACTACTGTTCTGCTTGTTTTGCTTTTGTTAGTTGTCCATTTTTAGAGAAGGATTGAACTTCTGCCCTTTACCACCCCTTTGTGTTAGGCCAGTTTTATTTGACAGCAGTAAGAAAAATTTCTAAGCGTTACCAGAACAGTTAAGGAGGTAGCTTTCTTTGCAGAGGAGGAAGATTGCTTCAGGAGAGGGACAGTTACTAACAGTGGCAGATGAGTGGGGAGTGTTAAATCCCTGCCTATCACAGTAACTTCTGACATATTCATCCCATTGTACCATTCAGCCTATTAAAAGCACTGTATGATTTACTGTATGATTTCCTTCTCCCCTGCTCCCTTTACTAACAAGACGATATCCTGGAGGGTGATACCTTTGAAGTGAAGGTAGACATCATTATGGAGACTATAAATGCATTCTAAGAAAAAAGTGAATAGCTCAGTCTTTCTATTGACCTGTGTTATTTCTCTGATGTTGAAGAAATATTTATTTGTAAACAAATATTAACATGACTCCAGTGTAGGATATTTAAGCACCTTGATAAAAGGCTCAAAAAAATAAGAAAACTGTTTATTTTATAAATTGAGAAAAGAATGTACACTCATTCTATTACAGCTACAGTTTAGTCAAACCTTTATTATTAGAATTTATTTAGAGGCGAAGTGTTTAGATTAAATCAAGAGGGGACACTTGTAATTTAAGAAAATAATCTGTGTCCTTTTGGAGCAAGGTGTCTGTCATAAAGACCATCATTTCCCACTCTGCCATTTTATGATGAAGGCTAAAAGGTCTTTGTATTTTGGCAGAACTGGGTATTTTTCAGTTTCAATTCAGTATTCTTTTTACAGTTCCGTTTGTTGTTCCTTTATACTGTGATCTGCCATTTCTCAAAATGGGGTTTTGTTTTATTTTTTTATTTTTATTTTTTTTTGGGGGGGTTTGTTTTAAAAGATTAAGTGGATAGCAAAAAGAAAGGAAAAATACGATGGTGTGTATATTTGTTTTAATTATTACGTATATAGTTTTCTAATAGATGTCTGTAGCTAAGTTAGCTAATTCAGCCTGATAATACATAGTCTAGTTATGATTAGCTGTTAAATTGCATTGAAAGCTAGAAAGTTGCCCATGTTAATATCCAAAACTTCTTTAATTCAGAATGATCTGAACACGTTAGTGATCCATGTGATCCAGGACATTGCTGAAAAATGAAACTTATAAATTCCACATTATCTAAAATCACTTAAGAATGGTTTCCTTTAAAGCATTTATGAGGGATGCCTGGATGACTCAGTGTTGAGCATCTACCTTTGGCTTAGGACATGATCCCAGAGTTCCGGGATTGAGTCCCACATTGGACTCCTGTATGGAGCCTGCTTCTCCTTCCTCTGCCTATGTCTCTGCCTCTCTCTCTGTGTATCTCTCATGAGTAAATAAATAAAATCTTAAAAAAAATAAAGCATTTATGAATAGTAAGTAGCTACTATTTAGTGGTTTGTTGACTCTTCTAAAATTGGCTGTCCATCGGTCCCTATAGTTACAATAATTTTGAAGAGCTGGTGTTTAGAATTTCGAATTAACTCTTGGGCCAACCACTGTGAGGCCCCAAATGGATTTGTAAATTCTAGATGATATGTGAGTTCTAGGCTACCATAGATTATTAGATTGTTCATTATCTTTATTATATCATTCTTCCCCAGTTTTAGGGGTAGCTACTATACTAAAGTTTTGAGAATTAACGTGCTCACTTATTGATACTTAATGTGTTTGATTCATTCCCTTCCCCAAACCCTTACCCAGGGTACAGTAAAAGTAGAAAAATGAAGTTACCTTGCTTGGCTTATTGTATTTCTGTTTGTGTTAGAATTTAAGGAGATATTTCTTAATTTTACCCTGTAAATAAAGATGTTCTATACTTAGTAATATTTTAGAGAATACCATCTTAAGTATGTTTGATTATATTTAACATACTTGAAATTTGTAAATTGGTTTCTTTCTTCAGAGAAACTTATTGGATTGTTGAATTTTTGTCCTTTTAGGAATCTATTCGATGGTTAGAAGATGAAAAGGCTCTCCTAGAGATGACTGAAGAAGTAGACTATGATGTAGATTCATATGCCACCCAACTTGAAGCTATTCTTGAGCAAAAAATAGACATTTTAACTGAGCTGCGGGGTAATTCCTTTTTCATTTTAGTGTTTGAAATCTTCTTGATCTTTGATTGTAATTGGTGGGAGGATTTCATATTGTAGGAGGACATCCGAAATAAAAATTATGAGTACCATTTAATGTATTTCCAAAGGTATAAAGACAGACTAGTCATTCTGTTTTTTGTAAAAAAGAAACCTGGAGCATCCTTTCAGGTGCTCTTTAGTTTTTTCTCTTTTAGGCATTTGAAAAGATAAATGCATCTTGTAATTAAATAGGGAAAATGTATTTTAGCAAATTTGTAAATTTTATATACCCATTCAGATTTTTGTTTGTTAGATCAGTGCTTTTCAGAATTATTTGCTTAGATTAGGTCTATTCAGAACCATCCCTTCTATAGCCTCCTGTCTGCATCTCTTTTCTGTGTATCTCTGTCATGTTTTTCCTTTGAAGACTTGTTTTAAACAATCAAGTGGAAGGTTTCAAGACCTTGAACAACTGAAGACCTTTTGACAGTTAATTCTTCCTACTTTGCTAATGGAGGGAAGCATGTGACTTGCCCACATGCCAGGTCCTTGGCTTTTTAATTAGCTTATTTGTGTAGCCTCACATACGCATTTATCGGACATGCTTGTTTCTTAGGCACTGGCACTGGCAAATTAGTTGTCTCCATTTATATGCGAATGGACATCTGTGTATGTGTACATGAAATGCAGTGTAAACCAGATTGAAATTGCTAGTTTTTAGCACCAAACTGGCTAATTTTTGAACTAGGTCCTTTGTGAAATTGGTTGTTTGAAATCGTATCCTATAGAGCCAGCAGTGACCATTCACCCAATTCAGAATTGTTTGTGGAAATGTAGAGTTTCCAAAACTTAGTTTTGTTTTCCATGTTCTTCATATTCAAGCCTTGATTTAAAGTATTGTGATCATTTTTCTTATTTCTTAGAACTGACAAGCAGCTTTTATTCAGAACAAATCATAACGAATTCTAATTTTTTTCTTTGTAATGTGGCATTCAACTTAGTTGACTTTCTTTAATTTTTTCAGGATTACTGTCTAGCAATTGTATTATTGTATTATTCAGTCCTTTTTTAGGGGAGGAAAAAAACTTTTTTACATCCAGAGATCATTTTTGTATTAATATAAGAAGTTTGAAAGCTTTTATCTTACACTAACAGGTATGAGATCCAGAGGTCCTTAAATTCCTTTCTAAATTTCAGAATTTAATTTTTTAAATATTGTCCTTCTGAAGAGTGGAAAGAAATTGAGATTCCAGGGATCCCTGGGTGGCGCAGTGGTTTGGCGCCTGCCTTTGGCCCAGGGCGCGATCCTGGAGACCCGGGATCGAATCCCACGTCGGGCTCCTGGTGCATGGAGCCTGCTTCTCCCTCTGCCTATGTCTCTGCCTCTCTCTCTCTCTCTCTCTCTCTCTCTCTCTCTCTCTCTGTGTGTGTGACTATAATAAATAAATAAAAAATTAAAAAAAAAGTTACTTGAAAATATTTTTTAAAAAAAAAGAAATTGAGATTCCAGCTAATATATCTTTCTTTTCTTCCAAAGGCCATAACCTTTGTGCCATTAATACATTTTAAGTTGAGTAATTGTTTGTAGAGGGTGCTGTCCTGTTCATTGTGCATTGCTTACCATCATCTTTGGTCTCTATTGACAAGATGATAGTGGCCACTACCCCAGTTGTGACAGTCAAAAATGTCTAGCTATTACAAAACGTCACGGGGTGGTAGGGGAACATCACCCATGGATAAAAATCACTATTAGAAATGGAGAGGAGATATTTCTCATCTTCACAGATGACTTTTATTTACCTCTGTCAATTTATTTACCTATTTCTTATTCTGATGGGACTCTCAGTTAATACCTAATAGTAGGAATTGTAAGACCAAGAAATCTATCATCCTAGAATCCCCTTTTCCTATCCCCTTTTACAATCACTGATAAGAACAAAATGACTTTGTTTTAAAAATGCAAACATCTTTTGAAATTTCATAGCTTAAAAATGTAAAATAGGCATTGGGATTAGAAGTTTCTTAATATTGAGGGAAAGAATGTCTATAAATTTGAGGGAAGAAACGTCTACTTTATAGTTTAGTAAGATTCAGAGGCACCTGGCCAGCTTAGTAGAGCATGTGACTCTTGATCCTCAAGGTTGTTAAGTCTGAGCCCCACATTGGGCATAGAGATTACTTAAAAAAAAGAGAGAGAGAGAAAAGACTCAGTCTTCTTTTGAACATGACTGTACACATTAACACACATATATAGCATGTCTACACTCCAAAAGGAATTCAAATAAACTAAAATTCAACACTGTAAAATGCGCCAAACAGAACAGAAACCTGTTGAAGATAGAGAAATAAGTTATTTTTATGAATCTTTAAATAATGAAACTGTCGCTATAGTTACATATTATTGCATTTAGTTCTGAGTTTCTGTACAACAGAGAACAAAACGAAAAATCCTGAGTTCGTATTTCGAAGTAAGGTTAACTGATTTGATAGGACCCATGAAGTTGTATACTGTATTGTGTGCAATGCAGTACTTATTCTCTTGTTCTTTTTCTTTTTTCCAAGATAAAGTGAAATCTTTTCGAGCAGCTCTACAAGAAGAAGAACAGGCCAGCAAGCAAATCAACCCGAAGAGACCCCGTGCCCTTTAAATCAGCATTTGCTGCTAAAGGATTCCCAGAACCCACACTGCTGTAACATACAATGGTTCAGCTGTAAGGGCCATTTGAGAGTTTGAAATTTTAAGTGTCTGTGGAAAATGTCTTGTCCCTTCACCTGAATGGCATTTCAATTTTATGAAACACTCCTTTGTCTACAAAATGCTTCTAGTCCAGGAGGCACAACCAAGATTTGGGAACTGAAGCATTTTGTTTCATTTACCCAAAGAGTGATTTACTTTTGGAGATCGTTGCCAATTTTATTTTCTGTATGATGGAGTAAGGTTGTGAACTTGATCCAGAGGTGAATAGTAGGGGGAAGCCACAGCATTTCCTTTTAACTTGGTTCAATTTTTGTAGCAAGACTGAGCAGTTCTAAATCCTTTGCGTGCATGCATACCTCATCAGTGACTGTACATACCTTGCCCTCTCCCAGAGACAGCTGTGCTCACCTCTTCCTGCTTTGTGCCTTGACTAAGGCTTTTGACCCTAAATTTCTGAAGCACAGCCAAGATAAAGTACATTCCTTAATTGTCAGTGTAAATTACCTTTATTGTGTGTACATTTTTACTGTACTTGAGACATTTTTTGTGTGTGACTAGTTAATTTTGCAGGATGTGCCATATCATTGAATGGAACTAAAGTCTGTGACAGTGGACATAGCTGCTGGACCATTCCATCTTACATGTAAAGAAATCTGGAATTATGATTTTAAAACCATATAATGTGGCTATAATTTTCTTAGCATTTTCTTTGTAAAGAACTAAAATATAAACTAGTTGGTGTATAATAAAAAGTAACGAAATTCTGAGAAGAGTTTTATCTTAGGATAATACATATATATGCAGTGTGTGTTCCAGTGTGGTATTAACAGGACTAATAGTGCAATTTGATCCTTACCAATACCATTACTTAGTGAAAGTGTCCATTAGCACCCCAAAATGTACCTTCTAAATGTACTGATAAAGGAAATTGGCTTCTGATGCATGAATACTTACATGTACACTGAAAGTAGTCCATAATAGAACTGTTAGTTTAAGCCAAGTGTAGACAGTACATAACTCCCGTGAAAAAGAATTAAGCTAAAAAAGAGTTGACTTTGCCTTAAAAGGCAGATGGAACCCAAGCCCCATCCATTACCTAATGTGTGATATTTCATCATTATTTGGTGAGAATCACCACGTTCTCGCCAATAAATTGGTTTAGGGTATGCTGCTTTTTAAATGGTGGCACTTATTTTTACAGATTGCTATTCCAAGGAAGAAAACTGGCCACTTTTCATGTAAATATTTTGTTAAAAGATTTATATATCTCTCTAGGAGTTTTCCCTTAGTTCCTAGGATAGTCCATGAATAGATTAACAAGAAAAAATCTCCCAAGGATGTCTTGGTTAGATTTACTCTAAGGAACTCTACTGCTCATTCATTTGGGCCAAAGGGAAGCTATGAATAGAGAGTCACATGAGCCAGATTCCCTACTTCATTGTTCATAGCACCCCGAGGGTAGTTGTGGGAAATCCTAACACCACGGTGAAATTCTCCTCTGTAAACTTGAAATCTAGAACAAATGTAGATTTTCACAATGTGCTTATCAATAAATGATATCTATGGAATTGAGTTTTAGAGATAATTTACTTCAGTACAATCACCTTTGTTTTGGAAGGGACTCAGGTTTTCTTGCAGTTGTAAGATATGTTCTATTTGTGTTTATTTTGGAGAGAAGAGGAAGAATGGAGCAGATACTATTGACCTTGCAGAGGATGCTTTAAAAGGGTAGTTTTTGAGGCTAACCAACCTTCAGAGGGCAATAAAGAGATGTGAACTTGCTCATTTTAAAGCACAACAGATTACTCTTATTAATTAAATAAGATGGGTACTATCTGTGGAAGGTCTCCTCATGTTCAAATAGGCTGCCTTACCCTATAATGGCTTCATTCTGATCAGTATCAAGGTCTGTCACCAGAAAAGATGGTGGTGGTATAATCCAAACCTTCAGTTTTACAGATAGGGAAAACTGAAGGCCAGAAAAGGGACTGAAACTCAGTAATTCATACAGGAAGAGGAAATAGAGGGAAACCTGAATTAATTCTTAAAATTTTCCTGTAAGGATAGAGATGGTACAAATGAATTTTGCAAAGTAGTTTTGTGACATAAAAAAAACCTACTCTTGAGGTATATTTAATATTTATGTAACAAAAGCAGCTCAAAGCTATTATTTAAAGAAAAACTAATTTTTTTGGATCTGGATTTAACATTCTTTACTTTCTCAGACTTCTTAAAAGCTGATATTCCTATTAATAAGTAATTGTTTATATAGGAATGTTTTACTATATCACTTTGAAGCCAGATTTCAAAACAATGTTTAGGTAAACAACGTCCTTTCTAGGTTGACTCAGTGTACCTTTGTTAAAATAATTTGGAAGCTGTCTTTTTATTAATTTAGGTTTTAAAAAAAGTCATCAATTAAGATATTTTTATTAATTTCCTTATATAAATAATCAGGTACTATAATTCTTTATTAAAAGACATTAAGAACACTTAGTATTATATTGATAATGGTTTAAATGTAGTAGCTAATTAAGACTTGTTTAGGGCATGTATTGAAACTCTCAACCGGCCATTTTAAAAATAGCTTAAAACTAAGCATCAGTATATGAAAAGACACTGGAAGTTTCAGTTTTCCAGAAGTCACATGAATACCAAGAGCCTGAAATCATAAGAAAATGGATGGTTGAGATGTTTGTTTTAAATAAGTTGAAGGGCAGAATTTGAACTTTAAAGCAAGTTTTGATTTACAAAACCCTTTGAAAACCTTTTGTTAAACCTATGCCTTTCCCAAAGAAAAAGCATATTATCTTAGAGTTCATTTTATTCTAGTTGAGCATCCTCATTTCACTTAAGGAACCATGCCCAGAAGTCTTAGGCTGGCATCACCTCATGGTGGCAGTAGCTGACTCATGTTTACCCAGAACCCTGATGGGAGCCTGTGATGCTACAGGACAGCTTGAAGGCATAGGCAGTGAGTGACAGAAGCTGTAGAAGATAAACAGAAAAAAACGAGAGAAGCAAAATAAAGCAGTTTTATTGTGTACATGAATAAAAACAGTATGGGAAATACATTGGAGTTAAGCATACTTTAACTTTTTTACTATTTGAGGGACAAAAGCCTACAGAGGTCCTCACAGTAATATACAGAAAATAGAACAAGTAACATCTTTATACAATAAACTGTTAGAAATGATAAGTTTAAGTGTAAAGTTGTGCGTGCCTGCGGCTCATAAAGATTATCATGTATAGACTGGACCCTTCCCTATGTTAGATATTAAAAACACAACACAACCAAAAAAACCTTGGGTACTTAGAATTGTCTGATTGAGTACTGTAAAAATTCATAGTAATAAATGATGACAGTAGTAGTATTAAATCAAACATAGTCAAGCATATAGTGTTCCATTGAAGCAAAGGCATAGTTCATCTTCTCAAATTATTAAAAAATATATAATTCCAGTTTCTTTTTCTTGAGTTTGGAAAATTGTTTGCCAGATAGCTAAGAAAAATGTATACCTTCTGCATTGAATCCATGTAGCAATCTGAAAAACCAAAATGAAATTAAATCAAAAAGGTAATTTAAAGCATGTAACAATGCATAGCTCCGGTACCACAAATTCTAAAACATCAGCAAACCTCTGAAGCCCACCCACTCCTAACACTAATCATTTAACTTTATTCTTCACCTAAATTTGTAAAACCTATAATGGTTAAAATCACATATTTTGTTGCCTCTTTTGTCACAGCCTATGTATCTTAAGCTATGGTGATTTGACCAAATTATCTTAGACCTCCACTATGTAGACCTAAGAGCTCACTGGAGCTTGTTCTGTTTCAACATGGTAAGTGAACAAGAAGCTATTTTGGAACTGGAGACAGAAGAGAGATGAGTGGTTAATCTTACATGTTCGTTTTTCCCCTCTGGGCTCACTATTACTGAGGTTCAAATACTTAACACATTGCTTTTCTCTGGATACCTATGTACTTACTGGATGCTAGTTAGCAAACTGCATATGCTTAAAAACCTTGAAGAAATTTGGTGAGAATGAAAGAAAATAAGATGAAATATTTCTAATTTGACCTGAGATGATTTTCAGGATGGCCCATAGGAACAGTTCAAGATGGATTAGAATGTTTGAAAAAGGAAGATAGGTACTTATGAATAATGTTCAACTCCTAGGATTAACCTCTGATAAAGACTCAGTAGTACTGCTAGCCTGCCAATATAAAATATAAACCCCACCGTCTTCTACAGAACTGTGTTGCCAGCTTAGAAAAGCCATAACAATTACTTTTGTAACAATCTACCCTCATTTTTTATTCAGCTCCTAGAACATAGTTTTAAACACAAATTGGCTAAATAGGCAAAACTGTTTAGTAAGTGATGGTTTATTAGGAAACCAAAGTGTTAGTGCTTAAAAACAGGGAGTGTAGGTTAATAACTGCCTGGTTAATTGAAGACTTACTCTGCTTTCATAAGATTAACTTGGTTAATTAAAGAAAAACAAATTTTGGTCTGCACTGCCGTTAATTATGACGCCATTCTTTTATTTTAGGTGTGTAGAACTTGCCTCGGTCTACAAAACAAGTAATTATTATTAAACCAGTTAGAAGTGAAAACCAGGTATGATTGTAATTGACATTATTTCATATGTAGGATCTGTTTAATAGCTCTTCCCATTACAGAAAAAGAGAATAAGACCCATCTTACGTGTATCATGCTTGCTTCTACCTTACAGGCTACTTTGAAGACACTATTAAGACTAACTACGAATGGGAGTTGGGGGAGGAGGGTGAAGGGGAGAACACATACCACAACACACATTGACACAGAGGCTATCTCCAGGCTCGGACTGTTCTTTATTACTGTTCTTAAAATGTTCATCTGCTGCAGCTAACTAGCCTCCATCTTCTACACCAAATACTATTCCATGCCATGGAAGTGCTATGCAATAACTCCAGGTAGCACCTTATACCGCTTAAAAGCCTTTAAATCTCTAAACTGAAGGTGTCACAGTAAAGAAATGTAAACACTTAGGAAAAAAGAAAAATGTAATTACCTGATGAAGTCATCTATGTCCATGGAGCGGGCCCGCTTGTCACTAAAACCTGTGCTGGTTAGGATTTGCTGTATTTTATCTGCTATGCTGAAATCTTCTGGTATTATCTATTAATATAAAATTCAGAATAAATGAACAACATATCTTTAATGAAGTCACGCTGACTCTTTTTTTTTTTAGTTCAGTAACTGACAGTCACCTTTTTCTGTTCATGACAGTTTGAAAAGCCTATTTGTGCAGCTCAGACTTTTAGACCTCTAATTAGTTAAGTTAATCTTCACATACCAAATACTCAGAAAACCTATATACTGCCCTTTTTCTTATACATTCTGAAATAGTTAACAGTTTCAGGGTTAAGGTACTTTATATATCACAAAATAGTTTATAGCTTTAAAATTCAGTTTATAGCTTTAACTGAATTTTAAAACAACTGTTATTTCTTTAAAAATACCTAACATTTTTTTTGCCCAAATTCATTTTTATCAGCAAATCTTTCTCAAAGAGATGACCTCCAGCCCTTGGGAATATTCAATATTTCATACCTCACATCTTTTCTCCAAAGATTATTCTTAATCCAGTTTAATATTTTCCTACCTTAATATTTTCCTAGGCAGATGTTTAATACCTTTGTCCATAAAAGAAAAAATGAAGGTAGCAATATGATATATTAAGCCATTCAAGATCCGAGTCATAAAATACAGTGGAAATTTGCTCTTCTCTTTCTGCTCTGCGTAATTAATTCGAAAGAACTGTATGTGTGCTGACACATACAAAATCGGTTGGAGAAAATGTTGCAGAGTTAATAAAGAGGCATGAGGCCTACAACTAAAAATTCCTATTTGGCCTATGCTTTATTCTGATAATCATTTCAATTTCTGAGTATTAAAAAAAAGTTACTTAAAAAATGGTACATGAGCAACAAACAAGGAATGGTCACAATACAGACTTAGCAAATGGTACATAATTTGAGCTGAGCAAGCTACACATGCTGCCTAAAGCTTCGAGAAAGTCATGACTCAACTGAATCTCTTTTTACGTCTAAAAACAACTGTCTAGTTAAAGAAGCTCATATGTAGTAATTGAGGCCACTCAGATTGATTCCAAGAATATACAGTAGTATTGACCTACCAGAGTTCAAGTTAAGGTTGTGCTAGTTATACATCACTTTTAAGGATCCTATGGACTGTACCAAATTAAGAATCAAGTGATAATAGATGGAAATAAGTAGAGGAGCATTTTAAAACACAACAAATCCAAACCCCAGAAATATTTTTTTGCTTACAATATTATGGAGCGAACAGTGGATTCTGTAGTTTTTTTCCAATAGCTGTTGCACTGCGCTTGACCTGTACAATAAATAAGTGATGTTGCTATTATTATTCCCAAATCAGAGATAATTTCCTTTAAGTTGATTATAAAGTTAAATGTTCTACATAGTAAAATTAAGGGGCTAAAAAGGTGTTGAATATTTAAACTTAAGAAACAATCATTAATTATACTTAAAAAGTA